TTGGCATGTAAGCTAGACATTATTGCACCTCTACTAAGCCTGGGAGTGAACTCAGGGCAACAGCGAACCGGAGACGAAAACGTTAATTAGGTTGACCTGTTCCTGAATAGAGCTGGATACTTTGTTGCAACCGAAAACGAGAAAATATCAGTGACAATATGCCCGAGATATGCACGTATCCAATTCATCGAGGACCGCGGAAAACTATAAAGAAACTGCCCCGCGTAAACGCCACCTTGTCGGAAGAAATTTATCAATTTCACCGTGCCACAGTTCCCATCGGCTTGGGTAAGTACAAACTGATTGCAGCCAGACCGCAGCCATAATCCTCAGAATTGCAGGGTGGGCTTGACTGGTAAATACAAAAGAAAACTTTATTACGAAGGTGCGTATTTTACTTTGTACTTGTTTATATGGTCAGTACATAAATTTTAATTTTTATTGGAATATGCCAAGGGAAGGAAGCCAGACGTAATCCCATGCCATTGGTTTTTGTATTTGAATGAGCTTTTAGCTTTTAGTCGACTCGTTTAAATATACAAAGGCATTGCTCGATTCTGTTTCATTGTCTCATATCCTTATATCTTTTTCGTAAAAAGGGAGGGAGGGAGTGGGCGGGGGCGTTATGGTAGTGCTTCGAGGTGGACTGAAGTGGTAATTTGCTAATCAGGCACCCTGCCTGCAAAGTGACTTCAAATGGGAGAGAATGGGGAGGAGGGGAACCAGGAGGGGGCCTAGAGGAAGTGGGAAGGTGAGTAGGGCTGCAAGGGACACCCACCGCCCATTATTTCACTCGCCTTCCTTTCTTTAGCTGTCATGAAAGGAAATTACAGCACTTTAATTTAGTGTTACGTGAGTACACAAACCAGATTGACAACAACAACAACTTTATTTGCACTCAGCTAGAAATTAAATGAACAAAACTAGATTAAAATAAAAAGAGTACATAACTGCCCGAAATAACCTTAATGGGCTAATAAGACTGGGCAGCTATCCTTAGTTAAGCTGGTTACGATGACGATGACCATGATAACGATGGTTACGGTGACCGTAAGGGTGACTTACGTTGATGGCGATCGTTATGGTGATTGTGGTCAGTATTGTTAATCTATTTATCATTATCATTTTTAATGACAGCTGTGTGTTCCAGCTGCCGCGGAGCACACTACAAATCCCGTAAGGCTCGCTGTTTCATGTCTGGAGAGCAGGTAAGCTACTATAGCTGCACATTGGCCATTCATAGCTTAGTAATCAGAGGATTTTTTGATGCGCCCCACAGGTGCCCTGATGTCTATAACGACTGAAAACATGAATAAAAGGTACCTTTGTTGGTTTTCCAGTCTTTCCTTCAATGGGTGGCCGTTTTGAATCGTTTAGGCGTGGTCGATTTCCAAGAGGCTTTGGACCTAGTTATAAAGATAGCGGTTTATCCGAGTTTTCCGATCACGCGTCGAGAACGGTTTCTGAATGGCAACTTAGTCCCAGTCCTAAAATTCAACCGCGCTTAAATAATGACCAGTGCTTGAAGACACCAACAAGAACAAAAATGCGAGGGCGACCTTTGGCATCGGCTAGGAAACACATATAGAGCTTCCACAGTTACATGTATTGAAAATCTTTGTGGAATTGTTAATAATCTTGTTCATAATTTGCTAATCCATTTTATTGCGCTTCAGGATCCTTACTCAGACACCTTGGTGATTGGAGACGACATTGAGGAGTCTGATTCCGCCACCTTCTCTATCATTACTGTTTGTGAGGAGAACACAATGCTATCCACGGAGTGTGCAGGGGTCTCAAGCACTGGCGAGAAGTCAGAAACAGTCTCTTTGCAGTCTCATTCGTCCCAAACCTCAGTACCAGAAGAAGAGATTAGTATATGGGTTGACGAGATGGAGGAACAAAACAGCAAACGGCGGAAATTAAACGAAGCTGTCCACAGCATCTCAGGTGGCCGGTACAGCCCTGTAATGTCCACCCTGAACACGACCTGGGACGACCTCTCTGACACCCAGCCGCGATGTTACATCCGCAAAGCTAAAGAGACTATAGTGACCTCATTGTCTGTCATCACTCCCGGCCAAGAAAAACTGGTTTGGAAGGCATTACAAAGGGAGGTACTTTTGGATCCAAACAGAGACAACCAAGGAAAGCGCAAGGGTTTTGATCCCAATTCTGGACTTGTCGACATTTTAGTCAAGGCCTATGAGCGAGCAGGTCATTGGCAAACAAA